TGTATTATACACATTCATGTATAGATATACATTAGTGTCAGTGTATGTTGTTGCTTACCTAAAGCAGTAGGGTATAATGACATTCTTAGCAAACAGTGAAATGTATGTATGTATTATAAGTACTGATATGATCTTGTTAGTGAATCTAAGTCGAATTGTAACAGCAATTATGATTATTATTGCATGATTGATATTGTATTGATTATGTATTGATTGCAGGTTTGACCGCATTCAAATAAATTGAGAAGCGAGTACGACGCAGTGGTATCAGTCACCTCGAGTTAACACAAATAATATATATATATATATATATATATATATATATATATATATATACATATATATATATATATACATATATATATTTATATACATATATATATATATATATATATATATACATATGTTTATACATATATATACATATTTATACACATAGATAGACATGTATATACATATATATGCATATATATACATATATACATTTATATACATATATACATTTATATACACATATACATGTATATACACATATGCATTTATATACACATATGCATTTATATACACATATACATTTATATACACATATACATTTATATACACATACATTTATATACACGTATATACATTTATATACACATATTCACATTTATATAGACATATCTATATTTATATACATATATACATTTATACAGACACATATACACATTTATATACATATACATATTCATACATATACATATATACTCACACATTTATATACATATACATATTATACATATTATATATATATATATATATATATATATATATATATATATATATATATATATATATATCGGTTTGAGGGAAAGGTACGATAGAATGGGCATAGTGGGTCATGATGAAAAGAGTTTGAAGAACCCTGACATGGATAAAATGTTTGCAGAAAATCAAGACGTCAGAATTTAGTTAGGTTAGTTTTTTGTCCGTCATGTCCATAATCTATATTTGTACAGCTGCATTCCCAAGAAAAAAATATCTTATGATTTTGTTAATGTAAGACTAGTTTTTAATGTTTAAGATGAATACTAGCCTCCAAGAGATTCGTCCCTTTTGCAGCACAGTGCAGGGGGAGCGTCGGCCTCGGACATTCGTATCAAAGGGGAAAACCAGAGTGAAAAAATAGCTTTACAAACTTAAAATCGTCTCTGTTAACTATAAGATATAATTCTTAACTTTTTACCTTAATTATACTCACATTACAATCAAACACAAGAAACATATATCCTTTAAAAAAATATTTCACAAATACATTACTTACCGTTCACATAATCGTATGCCAATCTGGAGGTGTTCATAAACATGCACCTTTCTTGGTCCTATTATTCCACATTCACAAGAAGAAAGTGGAACCGAACACAGAACGGGAAAATGGAGAGCAAGAGACGAAAATCATGACCATTAATAACTGCGATGATGCGTCGAGCTAGAAAGCATACTGTTGTTCTTGATTAAAAAACGTTCTGTCGTCTTTAATGCTGTTTGAAAAAAAGGATGTCTCTGATGAAGTGTGATTCATACGTATTACTACCATAGCATTTTCCTTTTTTGAGTCAGTTGTGAGAGGTCATTTCCAAAACCGAGATTGATAAGGGCATAACCGAAATCTCCTTTGTCATATGAACGACTGACCATCCAAGCTGAAATCAACAATGTATTTCGTCATAGTTGATGTAAAAATAAACCGTTCAAGTGCTTCGTGTTTTCTGTCATTTAGGGAACTGAACATACTAAATGTTTTTATTTCAGGTTTTATCTGCTTTTACACATTTAATATGCCTTCTTGTATCACATTTCCCACTGCTAGGCCCAGTACTTGAGATTCTGGGGTATGCGCTGAAAGAGTCGGCCTTGGACACCCTCTACACGACACCGCACTGTACCTTCTACGTTTCAACCCCTCGCAAGCATACCCTATTAAATTTATTTCTACAATCCTCTATAACATAAACTAAGAGCGCTTACCACAACAGCAGTCGCAGGCAAGACAGAAAAGTAGAGATCCATTACAGCAAACATCACATATATCCAAGCAAGAAAGGCAACAGTCAAGCTCGTCAGACATGGTTGTAGTTCTGTATGTGAGAAGTTCCACGAGGGGCTGGTGAGCGACTGAGCGCGGTGAGAAGTTGGGAACCCTGACGTCAGGTGCAGACTTCCAGATGTCGCCAGGCTTCTAATTCAGAACATAGAACAAATCCACTAAAAATATGATGTCCGATTACACGTTATCAATATGTATCATTATTAAAAATAAGTCTATTTGTTTAAGATTTTTTTTCTCGGTGCACTTACTCGTTGATAGTCTCACTTTCTAAGGGGAGGTACCCCGGACCATGGTCTAGAGAACATGCAAATACTTTTTAGACATGCAAAGGAAACATTGGCGATTAAGCACAATTGCTCTGGCCAGTGTGGGCGTTAGGTATTGCATATCATTCTATATTATAACCATTAAACAGACCCTGCAGAACGAAGAATGAAATATTAAAAAAACAAAACAATGTCGACGACTCGAGTCCCGAATATGTTAAAACGCAAAATACCATTAACTGATAAATTGTCACCGATATGCTCGTTACAAGCATCTCATAGAAGTGGAATAGATACAAAGAAAACGGGTGGAATATCATTGCCAATGGATATTAATATACCGATTCAAAGGAACCAAGAAGATCAAGGATTCCGCTTCAATTAATCGCTTTGGTCAGAGCGCCTTTGTTGCATACGGGCTGTGTCGCTGGTTAGGGTGCAGTCAATTGCTATTACGCTCTCTCTTCCTTCTTTTCTTATTCCTTGTCTTCGGGTGAACCTTTTGTGGAAGGAACCGGCTATAAGTGCACATGCAAATGCACACGCACACGTACACGCGCATGCACACGCACATCTTATGAATATTAGTAATACGCACACAAGCGCACGCACACACACACATACATATATATGTATATATATATATATATATATATATATATATATATATATATATATATTTATATTACATGTGTATGTGTGTGTGTGTGCATGTATGTATGTATATATAAGTATACATATATGTATATATATTATTTTATATACGTATATATACGTATGTATATATGTGTATGTGTGTATGTATCTACGTATGTGTATATGTATAATCATATATAAATATACAAATGTAAATAGAGACGATTATTATCTTTTAAGTATATATATAATTATAGATACAGATAGAGAGATTGGAAGATATATATATATATATATATATATATATATATATATATATGTATATATATATATATATATATATATATATATATATATATATATATATATATATAATACATACATATGCACACAGCACACACATATATATACATGAATAAGTGATATATGTATGTGTGTATATATATATATATATATATATATATATATATATATATATATATATATATATTAACAATTAGATTTATTCTTTCTTTCGTAACTAGTCCAGCTCCTTTCTTTGATCTCAAACTATAGTATAAGGAAATTTCGCCGCGTGTTAAATCAGGACGAATGGAATGTATGAACAGCGGAGTGACGTGAAAATCAGTGCTCTTAGGAGTGTAATTAAGCAGTGGATTTATAAACTGCAGAAAACAATCTTAAGTCTGAAGTCAAACATGTGAGGGTTATGAGACACTAATTAACTGATTAGGTCACACTAATTTACGCTAATAATAGGCCAGTACAGTTACCTACTACAATTTAGGCCAGGTGCAGATACGACAGGTGTTTAGGGAGATCCTCTGATTATCTTTATTTTCATGTTTTCATATTTACTGAATTACAAAACGCTGAATCATACATTGATTCTTCTGCTGAGCTTTTTTTTATGAAGCTCTAGATCTGCACTGTCAACGATCACGATAGAATATGTTTTTTCATGTTATTTAATTCACCTCAAGCTATCAAAGCATAATAATAAAAAAAATAATAATAATTGCACGTAAATATCATTTATAATAATTATTAGTGTTTCGTATAGTTTACAACTCTCTAATGTAATTCAGATTTTTTGTTACTCTAATATTTCTCGTTATTCTAAATAAGCACTATGGTGCAACTGGATTCACAGACTTTGTCATCTCACACTCTAACAGAATGTCTGTGCCTTCCAGCTTTATTTACCGCCCTCACTTTTGAAAAGGTAGAAGACATGTTTGCCTCAATAACTGTAAGGCCGTTCGGTGAGGCCGTCATCAACTTTCAATGGTTTCACTTTTCGACTAAAAAAAAAAGGGCATTCGTTCTAGCTCTTCTCCCTCTCTCTCTTTGTCTCGCATTTTCAGCTCAATTCGAAAATTTGGTTTTGTTACTTGGTATATAAGATGAATGAAATATAATCAGAAATTGGTTAAGAAAGTTCTTGCTTAGTATTTGGATGTTTTATCATCAGCTTCAGTTTCTATGATTTTTTCATTAATTGGACATGAAATGCAATAAGAGTCATTGAATGTTTCAGATAGATTAGCAAGGAAAAGGCTTTACTAAAAAGTCCCTCTTTTGTCTAGCCTCGCTTTGTGGTTCCTGTTGCTTCGTTATTTCTAAAAATCATTACTTGACCAATTTATCGCAGTTTCGTCACATTTTCACGTTTTCCAAAATTCTTCAAAATTGTTGACTAAAATAATTTTTAAACATTCATTTTTAAATGTAACTTGAAGGATTTTTTTTGCTATCTAATTACCCACTTATCATTGAAAAATAGTAATTAATTACTCAGGCCCAATTGAAGTTGACTCTTATTTGTTATAGAGTATGGCCCCTGTTCCTAGACTGAGTAAGACGAGGTCTGTTCTCCACTAAGTAGGTTACAGCTGCGATAGAATTGCTAAAAGGATGAAAGTAGCAAAGTATACTGTGCAGGAAAAAGTTAAGAAGCACAAAGTAACAGGAACAGTGAAAGACAGGGAAGGCAGAGATAGAATGAAGACATTAGCCAATGAGCCCAAGAAGATTTTAAACATAAACTTGAACGGTAGGTCAGTGAGGAGAAGTACTAGGGCAAAGAAGAAGCCATTATTGACTGAAAAGGCAAAGAAGAAAAGACTTGAATGGATAATGAAATGAAATGGATAATGAAAGGTACTGTTTTCATGGGAAAACAGTACCTTTCAATGATGAGAACAGATTTTGCTTAATAAATGATAGGCCTATATCAGTTAGAAGAAGAAAAGGAGAGGAATATCTTTCTGAATCCCACAGTTAAGCATGATAGTGGTCGTAACATGGTCTAGGGCTGCATTATTAGCAAAGGTGTTGGCCGATTGTACAAAATCAATGCAACACTTAGCGGGGAGCATTCCATTAAAAATTGACAGTGAAACAGTATTCCAGCAGGGCAAGGCTCTCTGTCACACTGCAAAGCTTGTTAAGACCTGAATGGCCAAAAATATGCTGACAGTTTTGGATTGGCCCGGTAATAGTTCTGATATGAACCAAATCGAGCATGTTTGGGTCTTTAATGCAAAGAAAACTGAGTCTGCAGTGTTTAAAACAACGGTGATCTATAGGAGAGGGTAAACAAAGAGAGGAACAACATTCCTATAAATTATTTAACTAAGTTGTATGAGAGTATGGAACGGAGAATCAATGCAAAAGGAGGATCTACCATAGAATTGACATTTTTAATTATTCACTGCATATATGTGGCTATAAATTCATCAGTGTTTCTAAAATATGTATATAGGTATTATGTATATGTATGTACACACACACACACACACACACACACACACACACACACACACACACACACACACACACACACACACTCTTTCACCCATTCGCGCGCGCGCGCGTGTGTGTGTATGTACACACATGTATACACATATATATCATATATCATATATAGAAGATACACACACACACACACACACACACACATACAGACACACACACACACACGTCTGTCTGTCTGTCACTGTCTATATGTTCACAGTTATGAACTGTCCTCTTCTATTTATATATTTTAATGAAGTTACTCACTGTATTATTAAACGCTTGTAGTCAATACAATGGTGTAATAGTTGTTTTATCCCACAAAATTATGAACACAAAATGCTGGAACACAAATTATGAACACTGAGTGTGGGAAAGCTAAACTCTCTCACTTTCTGTTACTTTGTTATATATATAAACCTGACAAAGACAACTGCATTTCCTTTTCTGAAGTAAATATTTCTCTTTCGCACAGATAACGAAACACTAGCAGTCGAATACCACTGTATTAATGGTGTGAACTGAAGCAACAAACAAGGAATTTTGTCTTCGATTTGTGAAGGACAGACTGCCAGACGTAGAACGTGTGAAATGCCTAGCTTGTCTTTGTGGGGTATGTGGATTAGTTAATATGTTATTATATATTGTTACAAATCATATGTAATAAGGGGTGGATGAGCCCTGTCTTTTTTCATTATATCAAAACTACCATTTTATTTTTACGCACACACACACACACACACACACACACACACACACACACACACACACACACACACACACACACACACACACACACACACACACACACACACACACACAGCCTACGCTATTAGTAAGGTAAAATGTCATCAGAAGATATGTGGACACATATATATGTATAAATTGTTATGCATATAAACATGTACAATACAGATGTGTATGGGTGTCGCAAAGCAACCTCGATCAGTGGTGCTATTAGTAAGGTAAAATGTCATCAGAAGATATGTGGACACATATATATGTATAAATTGTTATGCATATAAACATGTACAATACAGATGCTCGATCAGTGGTGCTATTAGTAAGGTAAATGTCATCAGAAGATATGTGGACACATATATATGTATAAATTGTTATGCATATAAACATGTCACGCACACACACACGCACGCACACACACACAAACGCATGCATACGCATAACCACATGAGTGTGTTCTTAGAATAGTATTAATTTTCTTTTTTACGTGATGTAGTCATAATGGTCATTTGTGGCGCGCCGAGACAGAGCTCGTTAATTAGCCAGACGGCCGTTCCAAGTCAGTGTGACGTAACTGCTGGTTCGGCCACTGGGACAACGTCGTAAGGGCAGAGGATCGCTAGTTGGTATAGAAAACTGTAGAAGACAAATCTATTGATCGGCAGCTGTGCCTCGCTAGGCATTTGTGGCTTTGTTATTGTGCATTTAATGATGGCAATGTTCGTACAACCGATCGCGACGATATTGGTATCGATGGATTCCTCT